CATTGTTCTCCTTTGCCTCCTTGCTGCAGTTACACTGGAAAACCTTGTTTAAAGGCAATCAAAACATATGGAAACTCTCCTTCCCACTCCCCAAATGACATCTCACATCTAATCCTCACTTGCGAATTTCTTCTTAGGTTCTTACAGTATTCATCCTTGCTTTGGTAAAGCCTAGGGCAGCATAAGTCTTATGGCATAAATCATAAATTAAAAGCTACATAAGACACCCTGCTTCATTGCATTTAAACCACCTGGCCCATTTAAAAGATACACACATTTAATCCAATGTTGGTCAGAACTGACGAACCAGATGTTGAGCATCCCTTAGCATCTTGAGAAAAGGTAAGGCAAGGGCACAATGAGGACAGATCTTCCTTAATCACACTTTTTTACCCTAAATAAAAAGGGTCACTGTGAACGGTAACACAATATGGTTAGTTCAGTCTCCCCTGCTCACAGAGTCCTTGAACACCACACTGAAATGGGCAGTGCTGCTGGCAACTAACGTCTGGAGCAGCACCTTGGGTTTCCTTAGCCTCTCACTAAGCACCTAAGAACTCAAATGGAACCCCCTACTCACCACATTGCACTTCGTTTACTAAGCCAGTCATTACATACTAGCTACTTACTCCTGATGGGGCTAGCTTCACAATCAATGTGTTTTATCACATTCTCAGTCCTCTGAACATTTTCCTTTTTTTTAAGCCATGATATTCAGTCACTCACCTCCCACTTCACATCAAACTTGTTCCTTCTCAACTTAAAAGATTCTGAGTTGATTACCAGGGTAAGCAATACTATGGAAAAAAATGGAATTAGCTGAAATAATACAAGGACTGCCTCAAAGCTGACTACAATTCAAGGGGAAAAAACACATAAAAACCTTTTATAAATATTTTTTCTTAGTGCTTACGTATTATGCAAGCATAACTAGTGAAGATCTAGTGCTACTACTGTTTTTTTAAGAAGCAGAAAAATGTAGTAATGCCTGTACGTCTTCCCCCTTCAGCATGAAAGGCAAAACAAAGGTAAGTGAACAAGTGATCTACATTCCCTGGCTGTACAAAAAAGGAAGCGGCTCTTGTACTTATCGAGGATTCCCAGGTTCAGGATACATTGACAGGACAATTTAATTGTTTGGACTGTGTGATTTTTAGGAAGGAATCTGTATCGCAAACTCTTTGCATGTGTACAGAAGGCATTTGTTTCAGCCACAAAGTACAAGGCTACTTGGGAATGCAGACTGAAAAGATTACACGAAAAAGGCCATTTTGCATGAATTCATCTGTCTCACTGCACAGTCCCACACATCCAATATGAGAAACATGAACTAATTATTTAACATTTGCATAGAAATTACATAATTTTGGGTTTTGTGGCATGGTTCCTTGTGTGATCTTGGGCCAGTTTCTGAACCTCTCTAAATCTCAGCTTCCTTGTTTGCAAAACAGATTAATATTACTTATGCAGGATGGGGTTAGGCTTAATTACCTCAAGTTTGTAAAGGACTTTCTGATGTTCAGATACTATGTAGAAGAAGAACTAGAAAAACCAATTTAAGAAGCAAAGAAGCATGTAAGACCATGCCCATGCAACAAAACATTTGGCGTATCAAATTCATACTGAAAATTTATGCTAACATCTCTTTGAAGTAGAAGCAAAAATTACATTAACAGAAAGTATAAAATATGTATATTACAAATAACAAATTCACTTACTTCTTCCTAATTTCTAGGTCTGAAACTGGAACACATCTCAGGCCAGCTCCCAATACCATCAGGGATGATGTTAGTAACACAGTTACCCTCAAACCTAAGATGAAAAAACAAGTCAAGTCAGTAATGTTGAAAAAAAAAAAAAAAGTTGCCTAAATCTATATTTACATGTGGTCTCACAGAAGTAATGCATATCTCTTTCAAATCATAAATGCTTTGGTGCTGATGTGAATTACAGATAAGATTATGAAATCCTGCGTTATTTTCTATACTTACACTCCAGAATTACAAAGGCTTACTCTTGGCATACTATTGCACATGACTGCACCCAATATCTTACAGACATTCTTGGAAGTCAAAAGTGATAATAAAAGTATCATCAAAATGTACAATATTTCCTTTAGAATTGGAAGCATCAGGGAATATGCTTCAATGTGTGATCTGAAATCTAGGTAGATCCAAAGAAAAATCTGGACTTGTACATTCTTTTCCAACCACTTAATGAGAGCAGACAGCACTGTTATTGTTTTCTTTCGTAATGCAGATATGTATTTCATCCTGAAGAAACAATCATTTATTCAGGGGAAAAAAATGCAAGTATTTTTTTTAGCAGTCCTTGCAATTAGGCCAGGTTTTCGCTGCGCTCAGCTCAAATTGTCAGAGGTTGTAAATATAGCGCATTAGAAAAAAGCTACAATTGACTGATTCCTTGAATATGTTTTTTCCTCATACTGCAATTCTCAACTGAGAAGCACTTAGATTAGAAACAACTTTATCTTAGTGCTGCAATTCCCTTTGCCAGCCATTTACTTGCTGCTGCTCAGGTGTTTCCATCAGCAGCAAACAGAAAGAGAATGGTGACAGCTGAGGGGCTTAAACTCCAGAATCATGTAAAACACCAAAACTATAAATATGCACAATTAAAAACTGCTGATACAGTCTATATCTGTGAAGTTGTAAAACCTCAAACAATTTCACAGTAACAAACAGTAAAGAAAGGGCTTCCATGTTCTTACAAGAACATAAGAACCAATTAAACAAACACAGAGCACCTCCAACGCTTCGGTGAAACACAGGCTGAAAAAGAACAAGTTCCTATGAGAACTCACCTAGCAAACAAACAAAAGATTTTGATTCTTTCTGAAACTGCCAATTTTCAGAGAAGTGTTCCCTCTATGTTAATGCCTCTAATAATCAGTACAATTCAACCAATACTCACACTGAACATTTTGTCTCCATGTCAATTTTATGGGGGTTTTAGAGCATGTACTTTACCAAAATGTAATTTTAAAGGAACAGGTGTAACTTTGCTCTTATTGCAACAGCTTTTCGTGAACCACACTCATAGGTATGCAATTCCTCGGCTGGACACTGCACAAATCAAACTGAAGACAGCTCCTTTCTCAACCAACTTAGCCCAAGACAACCCAAACAAAAAGAAGGTAAGGTTACAGGTTTTCTGCAATGGAAGCATGACTTCCTCCAGTATGGCTCAGTCAATAGCGAAAGGAATGCAGCCTGCCGTCCTGCGACTCCAAAGGACACCTCACATCCCTGCTGCCCTGGAGAAGTATCATCAGTCAAGAATATTTGTTTCCTTGAAGGATTTCCAATGCCTGCCCAGACTTACTTGCTTGACTCTGTGCTCAACAAGCACATGTTGCTGTTAAACTGGTTTTTCAAGTGTTCGTGTTCAGAGAGCCCTAACTAAATGCCCAGATAATAAGGCTGTTAAAACCCTGTTGTTTTTCGTGTTTGTTGGGCACCACGTGAGCCTTCATGCCATGCTTAACCCCATATTACCATACTGCATACATTGTGAGGGTAACCATTTGTATCAGGATCACATATGTGATGCTTTCGCCTTTTCTCCTGGCAAATGAGTCTCTGCTAGCATTACTTTTGTGCATAATGAGAATTTGTACGCAACAAGAATTAGAATTTTATTGATAGAAAATCAAAACATAGGTCTTTCAACTGAAAAATCTGAAGTTTTCCATTTGAAACTGCTGCTGCAATGTTTCAGGAAAGCTCTAATAATGTACATATCACCTTCTTGTTTTCCATGTAAACCAGGGTCTTTTTGAATCACATTGCACAAAACACGGCACATTCTGCTTTTCAGGAGACACAAGGACAGAGACAGCCTGGAAGGTCCTCCTCACGGGGCGCCGCAGGAGGCACAGGCCAGGTGCAAGCCCAGGGCACAGCACTATATCAGTATTATACAGAAATTTAAGTTTAAATCACCACAAGACATGAGGAGTGTTTCCAAATGAAAAACTTCTCTTTTTCTTTTAATTTTTGAAAATATCCCCAAAACAACAAAAAAACCCCCAAACACAAAGAGTTTTAACTTAAATCTGCAGAAAAGTTTCCTAAGAAAAACAATACACAACTTGGTGAGAACTCAATTAGATGCTGAAGTTTTTCCTTAGCCCTAAATTTAGGCTCTTCTCTAATGTCAACCTTACATGTCCAGTAATTTTAAAATAATCAAATCATGTATGTTTGATCTCTCCAAACATCATGTTCTCCTCTTGAATACCACACACTGTAATGTACCACTTTTAAGTGTTCTGATTGTACAGATTATTCTTTGGCCTTCTTTTTCTCCTCTACCTTAACATGCAAACACACTTCTAAAAACTCCTTTGGTTAAAGCTGCATGTTGAAAATGATGACACCAAAGTGAACAAGTAAAAGACTGTCAGACAAGCAGCATGTTAAACATTTTCTGAAATTGGTCTTTAATAGTTTTTTTAATAATTATTTTAATATTTTTGCTTTGAACATTGCAAGGGACCTTAATATGAACTGGACATCTTGTATGACTCTAAACGGTGCGCCCCAGAGCGTTTCAGCTAGCAGCATGCATCGTGGGGATAATAAACCAAGGTAACCAAACAAGCCTGAAAAAGAAGCCCATGAACCCTGCAAGAAATTATTTCTCCGTTTTGAAAGATCTAAGTAATTCATGTAACCAAGACTGTGAGTAGATGTAATTAACTTCATTAATTTTACCCTCTAAATGCAAGTGGTAATTGATGGGGGGGGGAGGCTACAGCTTCTTAAAATCTGTCACCCAGGTTCCAGTCCCCTTCTATGAAAGGTTTCTGACATGTGGCTGGAAAGGGAAGAAACTCTTTAAAGGGATTTTCTGCCAGTGGAGGAAGTTTTCTGTTCTTCGGAGCCTTGCTCATTAGCTGCCCACCCCCACCCTGCTCTTGTAGGAGGTTTCTGGGCCCCACGGGCGGCACTGACTGGTGAGCACAGTGCGGCCACGTCCAGCACGCCCAAACGTCATTGACAGAAACAGAGAAGTCCAAGCTAGCAGCAGAAATTAAGTCAGTAACAAAGAGACATATTAATCATCATTTATGAGTAAAAACAGTTGATGTTGTTCAACTGTTTAACCCTCCTGCGGCTAATAAGACGGTCTGCTTTACAACTTCAGCAGCCCACGCTGCATTTGCTGGTTTTTACTTCTTTTTAAAACAACTACCCCCAAACTCCTGCCGCTATTAGAGATTTAACACAAACTGTCAGCCCACAATCCTTTTAACTCTCCTGCAAAACACAGACTTCTAATCCTGCCAAGACCACGTCGTACTAGTGAACCTTAACGATTACCTGTGCCGGCAGGACCTGCTGACCGGCCCTGGCCCTGGGACGTTTCCAGCTGGCCCACCAGCTTCCTTCCCTCTCTGCCGCAGCAACACACTCAGTGCCATGAACCCAGGGCCCCCCACCACCCACAGCCCAACAAGGAAAATGAGAAAAACCCAGCCACACTGCAATGGGGTCTCACCCAGGAGCGGGAGGAGGCGGCAGCTGCCGGTGCCCCCCAGCCGCTCCACCACTCCCTCGAGGCACCATCAAGCGACAGCATCCGACACGTGGGTGTTGGGTCCCCCACAGCTCCTCCAGCATGCCTTACTTTAAGATGATTTTTAAAGTACATGAAAACATTTCCCTCATACACACATTCCATTACTGACCTGTAACTCAGTGATTTATTATGCTGAGTTTAATATGAAACTTACTAGAAGACGCTACAGTCTCATTCCAACTATTATTATCAGTTTGTCATTCGGAAAGAACATGATTTACAACTGTTTTATGCTTTTGTAAGCTTTTGAGAAGTATGACCATTCCCTCTCTCACCTGTCAGTCAACTGTTACAACATCATAAAACACATGACTGTGATTCTGTGACTGACAGGCTGTGAAAAACAAACCCTTACTCACACAAAACACACACTCAAGTCAAAATTGTCTTCACATTGAGAAGTGGAAGTTTCTACTTCTGCTGCCTAGTGCATCAGCCCCGGCTGAGGCCAGCGTACGCAGCACCCCGGGTCCCCAGCTACAGCCCCACGGAGAGCATCACACAAATGGCAGATACTCTTTGGGTTTTGTCGTGTCCCCGCCTCCCCACCCATATTAAGGGGAAAACTCCCGTCGGATGTGCAGAACAGTCACTTTCCACCTTTCTGCTAAGACTGATGGAAGTTTGGCCACAGGAAAGGCTGTCGGATTCAGGCCTCCACCTGGCGTGGCCAGCAGCGGATTTCCCTCGTACGTCTCACGCACCCCGCTCTCGGATGCATCAGTGTTTGAGGGGTTTCCTTCCTTCAGCTGCAGATACTAAAATCAGTCCTCACAAATACAGGCTACAACAAGGCTCTAATTAGAAACGCGTGACTTCAGCCTGCTGCACATTTTCACAGTTTTTGAAAGCCAGGCTGGAAGCTCAAACCCTTCTGACACCGAACTGAGAGCATTTTAATTCACTTCACTACTCTGCTATTATTTTGACTAAAGCATATCTAGTTAAAAAAAAAAAATAATCCTATCTTGACACACACACATCAGGAAATGAAAAATTCCCCAATTTCAACAGCCATTCCAATGATTCACTGTTAGATTGTACTTTTGCCTCCAACTTAAAGCAAATATGGTTTTCAAACAAATTCTTGCTCTGCCTTTTTTGACAAAACAAAGCGCAGACCTTGCGTTTTTCCTTCTATGAAATTAACATACAATACACACTTACTTTTGGTTTCAGTAAGCAAAGCACTGAGTTCCAAGTCTTACACTATTTTTCTTTGGTCTTGGAATCATTTTTGTGTCTTGTCCAAATACCCTCCTTATTGTTCAAGCACCCTTTTTAATAGATTTCTTTGCTGGATACCAATTCTCCATTTCATAGCAAGGGTCTACTTCTCTCTCTCCTTAATGTGTGCCTTTATATTCAGGCATATTAAAACAAAAGCTTGATTAAACCACTCATTTTATCAGGGAAACCTGAAAGCTCTGCACAGAGTCCCTGCTTCACCATTATCTACTGCTCCAGAAATCTTTGTATTTTAAATGTAATTCTAGTAAAATTATACTAATAGAGGTAGCACTTACTCTCACAAGATCAGTTATCTTTGTCATGATTAAAATACACACACACAAAAAAAATTGCTACCTTTCCACTAAACACAGTGAATAAAACTTCCGTTGTGCCTGCACTTTGCCAAATTGACTACTGTCATTAAGGAGGATAAGCAGCAACCCTCTTTCAGAAGAAGCATCGTTGCATTAAGCAATAGAATTCTCAGAAGAAAAGAAGCTTTTCACTGATGTAAGAAGACTTCATAGCTGAGTTGAGGTCCTGAAATCTTTCTGCTAACACATGAAACAAACTTGAAAAATCAGTGTATCAGGCCTGCCTCGGATTCCACAAAAGCACTTGATTGCAGCAGAGCATAAATTGTGTTTGGAAACTCAATGGAAAATAAATACTTTCTCAAGAACAGCATCAACTACACTCAGAAGCAAGAAAAACTGCGAACCAAATAAAAAGACTGCATGCAAGAGAGAACAACTACCAGATCATACGCAGTTAATCAAAAATCACTCCTACTTTGACGGCCAAGCTGTCATGGGGTGCTTGTTAAGCACAACCTGGATCTCCCTTACTCTCTGGCTACACAATGCTGATGCTTCTGTTATTGTCCAGTCTTGGTAAACTGTGTTTTTAAAACAAACTGACAAAATTGTTTCCATTCGTCCCCCTGACTCTATGTGGCACTACCAAAATAGCATCCAGATTTCAGCTGAAAAGGTTTAGGACTTTAGCATTTTCTTTCCGACTGAAAACGAAGCAAACTCCTAGCGACCTCACTTAAGCATTCTGCAAGACAAGTGACAGCATCCTTCCGGTATTGAACAGTCAGAACCGAGCTCTATCATATAGGACCTATCAGAAATAAATTTGACCCAAAGCTACATTTCAACCCCCAGTCTTGTCTAGGATGCAAAAAGCAGACCTTTTGCTGTACGTATCCCATTACACAGCCCAGTTCCACTTTCCAGCGGAGGACTGTACAGCAAGGGCAGATTCTACTAGACACTGTGCTCCAATTTCCATCTGACATAAACAGTAGGCTGACTGGGATCCCCAGACGAAATATGTACTAGAAATCTCTTGAAACATAGATGATAATGATAATGATCTTCAGAGGGGCAATTTCTCTTTATAATTTCTAACAGCTGTTCTAACAGCATCTGTCAGCAATAGCTGCCCAGTCAACACCCAGGCTACCAGGAGAAGTTTGAAATTTCTTATAAATTATTTACAAAAAATTTAAATTTGAGGAAACAAACCTCATATGTATAAACACAGCAGCTTCAAGTGAAATAGCTCCTATGGCTTGATATAGACCTTCTAGTCAGGGTCAGAAATTCAGAAGAGCCAGTATCCCAGAAATGTCATTACCAGCAATCCGGGGGAACCTGCAGGAAAGTCCCTGCCAAACCGAACAAAGACTGGTGCCAGGGACCAGATCTGACCCAAAGATAAAGTTATTTCTGCTGCTAGAACTTGTTGGACAGACATAGCAAGGCTGCATGCCAAACTGACTATATGAGGGCCAACACTCGTCCCCATCTTTGTTCAGTTGTTGTGGTTCAGCCTGGCTGGATGCCAGGTGCCCACCAAAGCTGCTCTATCCCTCCTCAACTGGACAGGGGAGAAAAAATACAACAAAAGGCTCATGGGTCGAGATAAGGACCGGGGGATCACTCACCAACTACCATCACAGGCAAAACAGACTCAACTTGGGGAAATTAGTTTAATTTATCACCAATCAAATCAGAGTAGGATAATGAGAAATAAAACCAGAGCTGTCCCTGAAGAATAACCACGAGCAGGTCGAAAGCTTATGGGTAAGAATCGGAGAGAGAGGCAACAAAGGGAACCTAGTGGTTGGTGTCTACTACAGGCCGCCAGATCAAGAGGAGCTGACAGACAAAGCGTTCTTCCTCCAACTCCAGGAGGCTTCACACTCGCAGGCTCTTGTCCTACTGGGGGACTTCAACTACCCTGACATCTGCTGGAAAAGCAACACGGCAAGCTGTAGGCAATCCAGCAGGTTCCTAGAATGCA